ATTGTTTCATTTTTAACAGATTTGTGATATCAAAGTAAATTTCTAAATGACTCAAACATTCGTAAATAACTTTGATATCGAAATCTGTTTCTCGCGATACTTTCTTGTACATATGTATTTAAAAAATTTTCACGCGTACGTAAAAATTAAAAGTGACTCGATAACTTTATAAAAATGACTCGAAAAGTACTGTGAAATCGGAGAGTCATCCGACTTCTATGTACTAATTTTAATTTTAAATTGAAAAGAAGTTAAAACGCGATGTACAAGAAAACCCTGACCTGAGCTAATAAATGAAATAAACAGTGTGTACGAATTTTGCACGATCGTACAGTCGTGGTCACTATGCTCGCTCAAAAATATAAAAATACAACCAGTTCCCGTGTCGCTTCGGACCATTCGTCCTACGACATGATGGGAACCGGAGGAACCATAAAGCATGCGACTCACCGATCGCTGACTTGCATCACTGCGTGGGAGGCATTGCATCTTAGAGGTTGATTGGCTGATTGATTAGTTGGCAGTTTGATTAATTGGCTGCTTGGCTGCTTTCGTCAGATTTGGATGTGGCGGTTTGGCAGTTGGCCTTCTGTAATCATAAATAAATCACAACGGTTAATTAACTGTGTTTATCAATTTGCATTTTGATTAACATATACGTAAACATATTTTCTACTCGTGCAAACATTCAATAAACTTTTATAATTTTGATGTATACAAGCACATAGAAGCATGCATGCAAAACTAGGTATATTACTGAATTCGGTTATAAATTTGCAAACGTTCATCAGTATATGTCACAACGTGAAATATTGTAAAATATTTGAAAATGTATGTCAAAACACTTGAGTAATTGCTTTAGAGAGCATGTTAGAACGTTTGCAAAAATATACCGGAACACGTAGGTAACTACATTGCAATGCACTAGTAACAGTTTGGTAAAACATTTAAATAACCACTACATAAAGTACACTAAAACACCAGTAACAGTTTGCAAAACCACTTAAGTAACCGTTCCATAAAGTACACTAATATATTCGTATACACATGCACAATCACTTGTAGAAATGCACTAATAAATTCATAGACACGTGAGAAACCACACCATAAAACGTGTTAAAATATTCGTATACACATGCATAATCACATATACTAATCCACTATTAAACACTATAGCACATGAGAAATCACACCATAAATCTTGTTAAAATATCCGTACACACATGCACAATCTCATATAATGATTCACTATTAAACACCATTGCACATGACGAACCACACCATAAATCGTATTATTACACCCCCGTATATGCACAAATAGCTGATAAAACACACTATGCACTTGCACTAGTACGCTAGGTAACACTAAGATGAGCACACAATTCGATATTTAAATCGTTGACTCGTACCGATATATAACGAAAGGGTTGATCCGACCTCCTTGGCAGCTGCGATTAGACTGATTATCAACGACCTTCTTCAAGTGTAAACCGAGGGATTAACAATAGGCGATCCGCGGTGCCCAGCCAGCCGTGTCGACACGCACCGTTGACGACTGCCTGCCTCGATGCGAACTTCTAACTCTTGCCTAATAATTTTTAATATCACATTTATTTATTTATTTAATAAATTATTATTAAACTATTAAAATTTATTATTTTTTATAATTTTTTCGTACATGGTATTTGTTAATTATTATATTGAAACTTATTTTCTTATAATTTTTTATTTTTTAATTATCTATTTATCTATTTATTATGTTTTTAAAAATTTATTATTTTCTTCATTTTCACGCGTGTATATCTTACGAAATATTTACTAATTATTGTATAATTTTTAATTTGGCGTTATTTAATGATTATGTTGTTATATTATTTTTTATTAATTTTTATAAATAAATTATTATAATTTTTTTTAATTCTACGCTTTGACGTGGTTTTTCGGAAATTGTTATACTTACTTTTTGAAGTATGAATAAATTTTAGGCTCCTTCGAGAAGTATATTGAGACGAGTTGATTTAAATTAACATTTTTATTGAAAGCATTCCCATCACTTTTTACAATTCGCATAAATTTTGCTATTAATGTACGAATGAAAGATTGCTCGGTACAAGGCGATAACATTTTATAATAGAAATTTTTATTACTATAACGGTGTCGTTAGATAATCGATAATGATCTATAATGATCTATAATTCGTTCTCCTTGACAACTAAAAATTTTGTTGCACAAAATCAATATTTTGTTAAAGTTTCCACTTTATTTTCAACTTAAAAACAAGTATGCACTCAGTACTACCAATAAACTTTTTACCCAAGTTAAAATAATAAAAATTAATAAAAAATTTGATGTACTTGTAGGTGCTATATAACCTTGGCTCAAGCATTATCGATGTCGATGGGTGGGTCACCCTGTGGCCCCGCAGGAACTGGGAAAACGGAAACAGTCAAAGACATGGGTAAAACATTAGCCAAATACGTGGTGGTTTTCAATTGTTCCGATCAAATGGACTACCGAGGATTGGGTCGAATTTACAAAGGGTTGGCTCAGAGTGGCTCCTGGGGTTGCTTTGATGAATTTAACAGAATCGAACTACCGGTTCTCTCCGTTGCTGCTCAGCAAGTTGCGGTTGTTCTTGCTGCGAAGAAGGAAAAGAAGAAACAATTCGTTTTCACTGATGGAGATTTAATAGACATGTGTCCTGAGCTTGGAATATTCATAACGATGGTATTAAAAGAAATTTTGATATCTAAGCAAATATTTAACTTTACAAAACAAATTTTGTCTATTTCTACTTATTGTAAAAATAGTTCTTCTGGTTACAAAAAAGCTTGTTTTATGCAGAATCCCGGATACGCAGGTAGGAAAGAACTTCCGGAGAATCTGAAGATCCAATTTCGTACCGTAGCAATGATGGTACCGGACAGGCAAATCATCATACGAGTGAAATTAGCCAGCTGCGGCTTTCTGGAGAACATCACGCTTGCTCGTAAATTTTACACGCTGTACAAACTTTGTGAAGAGCAACTCACTAAACAGGTTAACTTCTACAAAATTTTAGTAACGTGTTTTCGATGAATTAGAGCAAAATTGATGGTATGCTTAGGTTCACTACGATTTTGGTTTGAGGAACATATTGTCTGTGCTCAGAACATTAGGAGCATCGAAGAGAGTGAATTCTAAGGATTCAGAAAGCACGATTGTTATGCGTGTCTTGAGAGACATGAATCTCTCTAAATTGATAGGTAACTTAAGTCTATTATGTAACAGAAATAAAAAGTTAATTAATAAAAGGTGGTTAAAGTACATTTCTTATTTTTTTTTTTAATATGTAGATGAAGATGAACCCCTCTTCATTTCTTTGGTAGCGGATCTGTTTCCCAATCAAGCTCTCGAAAAGACTTCTTACCCAGAGTTAGAAGCTGCAATCAATGACCAAGTGGAAGAGGCTGGTTTGATATACCATCCACCATGGGTTCTAAAATTGATACAATTGTACGAAACACAGAGAGTACGGCATGGTATAATGACTTTGGGCCCGACTGGAGCTGGGAAAACAACTTGCATACATATTTTGATGAAGGCTTTAACTCAATGCGGTGACTTTCACAGGTAATCTTAATATTTGTGAGATAATTTATGCGTTAACTTAAGTTTAATAAATTTTAAACATTTCACTAAGAAAATAAGAACATTTACTACTAAATTCAGTAAAGCAACTTTTAGCAGTAAATGAAAAGGAGTTCCTCGTGCAAAAAATTTCAATTGAATGTGCATCAAACTTCGATTAAAAACAGAAGTAAATTTTTAGTTGATGCAACAAGAAAATTAACAATAACACGTTTGAATATCACTAAAAATATCTTTTCGTTGATCAAAAAATACTTTCACAGAGAGATGAGAATGAATCCAAAGAGCATAACAGCCGCCCAGATGTTCGGCCGTCTAGATGTCGCCACAAACGACTGGACAGATGGAATATTCTCAGCTCTATGGCGCAAAACCCTAAAATTAAAAGAAGGAGAGCACGTATGGTTGGTTCTCGACGGTCCCGTTGACAGCATCTGGATCGAGAACTTAAATTCCGTATTAGACGATAATAAAACATTGACTCTGGCAAATGGCGATCGTTTACCGATGGCTTCCACTTGCAAAATAATTTTCGAACCCCATAACATCGACAATGCTAGTCCTGCCACGGTGTCTCGTAATGGAATGGTGTACATGAGTTCTTCGGGGTTGGATTGGAACCCTGTGGTGACTGCTTGGTTAAAAACCCGATCGACTTTGGAGCAGGAAGTTTTTGGTCAATGTTTTGCTGATTCTTTTGCTCAGGTTAAATTTATTTATACTTGTAGATTGTACTTAGACATTCTTCTAAATCCTTCTGAACTTTCCTTGAAATCGAAATGGGTCAATATTGAGTTGGTAGCGGGCAGGTAGGGAACGGACAGATATCAAGCGGTCAGTTACGGAACGGGCAGTCGTCGAGTGAACAAGTATCGAGAGTATTGAACGTTTCGATATTATATAAAACCATCAAGTAAAAATTGAAATCTACCATTTTCTATAGATTTTGGGAAAAATTAGGGAAATTTAACAATGCTCTATTTTCGAACAAAAAGAGATAGAATTCATAAAGAAAAGTATAAAAAATCTTCATTGCACATGACTGTATACACCATTAACATCACACAATTCTCAACTGTGATTACAATTAAAGTATCGCAATTACAGATTTATTCCTGGGGCACTCAAGTTCTAACGTTAACCATAGACGTCTTACAATGCAACATCGTGCAACAGATGCTCTGTCTCCTCGAAGGTCTAGTTCCTCCCGAAACGTCCGTAGAAAACGAAGACGACGAAGAAACGGAAGAAGAGAAACGTCAGCCGATGACTCTGGAACATTTGCAGCGTTTCTACACGTTCGCATTAATATGGGGCATGGGAGCACTGCTAGAAACCACGGACAGAGGAAAGTACGATCAATATCTTCGCGAAAACTTCAGCAACCTGGACTTGCCAAGCTCGGAGAAGTTTCCCGAAGCGAAACTGTTCGATTTCTATGTCACGGACAAGGGTAAATGGGACACGTGGACGAGCATGGTGACCAACTACGTCTATCCAGAGTACTCGACACCCGATTACAGCAATGTTCTGGTTCCGATTCCTGATAACGTGAGGATACAGTACTTGATCGACCTAATAGGGCGACAGGACAAGGCCGTGTTGCTGATAGGCGAGCAAGGCTCTGCTAAAACGGTGATGATGAAGTCGTACATGAAGAAGGCTAACCCAGAAACCACGTTGAGTCGCTCGTTCAACTTCAGTTCAGCCACGAGTCCGTTCCAGTTCCAGAAGACCATCGAGAGCTACGTGGAGAAACGCCTGGGTAACACGTTTGGACCGCCAGGTGGTAAGAAGATGATGGTGTTCGTTGACGACATTAACCTACCGCAGATAAACGAGTGGGGTGATCAAGTCACTAATGAAATCGTACGTCAAACTATGGACATGAAAGGATTTTACTCTCTCGAGAAGCCTGGAGATTTCACCAGCATCGTGGATATGACGTTCCTGGCCGCCATGTGCCAACCTGGAGGCGGGAGAAACGATATTCCATCCAGGTTGAAGAGGCAGTTCTGTATTTTCAATTGCACGTTGCCTGATAAGGCGTCCATCGACCGAATATTTAGCGTCCTCGGCGAAGGTCACTACAATACCAAGAGAGGATTTTCGGTGGAAATCAGAAACCTCGTTAAAAAGATGGTTCCTTTGACCAGAATACTGTGGGAAAGAACCAGAAATAACTTACTACCCACACCAGCTAAGTTTCATTATGTCTTTAATCTACGAGATCTGTCGCGAATTTGGCAGGGTATGGTCGGTACACTATCCACGGTGATTGACAAGGAGAATGTCCTGATGCTGTTGTGGAAACACGAGTGCAGTCGCGTGTTCAGCGATAGGTTCACCATACAAACGGATAAGGAATGGTTTGGGGATGAAATAGTTAGAGTTGTGAATGAGATGCTGGGGGAGAGATATGTGAACATGCTGGATCAGGACCCTGCGTTCGTAGACTTCATGAGGTAATTAAATGTAATAGAGTATCTATTAGAGTATCTACATAGAGTTATATGCTGGAACATTGTACCAACTTTAAGTGGACTCTGAATATCGATTAAGGTCTATATATTTTTAGGGACGCTCCCGAACCTACTGGCGAAGAGGGTGAGGACACAGACGTCGAGTTGCCAAAGGTATACGAACCAGTCTACGACGACCAGATCCTCAGGGACAGATTAGAAATGTTCTTATCGCAATTCAACGAGATGCAAAGAGGTTCTGGAATGGACCTAGTCTTCTTTCCGGACGCCATGCTGCACTTGGTCAAGATATCCCGAGTGATTAGACACCCAAAAGGAAACGTGATGCTGGTAGGAGTCGGTGGTTCCGGGAAACAGAGTCTCACAAAGTTATCCTCCTTCATCGCGGGCTACAAAACGTTCCAAATTACTTTGACGAGGTCTTACAACGTAGCAAACTTCTTAGAAGACTTGCGGTATCTGTATAGAACTTGTGGAGCTCAAGGAAAGGGAACCACCTTCATATTCACCGACCTGGACATAAAAGAAGAGGGCTTCTTAGAATACCTCAACAACATTCTGAGTTCAGGAGTGATCAGCAATTTATTTACACGCGATGAACAGCAAGAAATTATTTCCGAATTAACACCTATCTTAAGACGCGAGAACCCGAAGAGGTCCATCAACAATGAACTTGTAATGGACTTCTTTCTTCAGAGAACGTGTCAGAATCTGCATGTAGTGTTCTGTTTCTCTCCAGTCGGTGAAAAGTTCCGAAATCGCGCCCAACGTTTTCCGGCACTGATATCTGGATGTACAATCGACTGGTTCCAACCTTGGCCCAAGGACGCGTTGATATTAGTCGCCAAACACTTTCTGCACGACTTCAGCATCGCCTGCACCGACGAAGTGAAAAACGAGTTGGTAAACGCGTTAGGATCCATACAGGACATCGTTTCGAATACGTCGACAGAGTACTTCCAAAGATTCAGACGTGCCACCCACGTCACGCCGAAATCGTACCTGAACTTCATCGGTGGCTACAAGAACATTTACCAGAGCAAGCAGCACGAGCTTGGAGAAGGAGCCAAAAGAATGGACACCGGTTTAGCAAAACTGGAAGAAGCGTCGATATCGGTGGAAATCCTGAAGAGAGACCTTGCCGTGATGGAAAAAGACTTGGTCCAGGCGTCCGAGAAGGCTGAAACCGTCCTCCAGGAGGTGACCGAAAGAGCAATGCAGGCGGAGGCGTTCAAAAACCAGGTGCAGAAAGTAAAAGAAAAGGCTGAGCAATTGGTAGCCTGCATAGCTGAAGAGAAGGCGCTTGCTGAACAGAAGTTAGAGGCTGCCAAGCCAGCACTGGAGGAGGCAGAGGCTGCTCTGAACACTATCAAACCCGCCCACATAGCTACCGTGAGAAAATTGGGCAGACCACCACACCTCATTATGAGGATCATGGATTGCGTGTTAATTTTGTTCCAAAGAAAGATCGGATCGGTCGTTCCAGACGCTACTGCTCTCTGTCCGAAACCTTCCTGGTCAGAATCCCTGAAGATGATGGCCAGTACAACGTTTTTATTGCAGCTACAAAATTACCCGAAGGACATCATCAACAACGAGATGGTCGAACTGCTGCAACCTTACTTCAAAATGGAGGATTACAACATGGAGACAGCCAGACGAGTCTGCGGTGATGTAGCAGGATTGTTATCTTGGACGAAGGCTATGGCTTTCTTTCATTCGGTCAACAAAGAGGTACTTCCTCTGAAAGCTAACTTAGCCTTGCAGGAGGCTAGGCTCAAAGTAGCAATGGAGGATCTGGCGAACGCAGAGAGAGAGCTTTCTGAAAGGGAGATGGCACTGCAGGCGGTTAAAGAACAATACGACTCGGCCGTGTCTGAAAAACAGAGACTGACTGAAGCTGCAAACGTTTGTCTCCGAAAGATGACCGCTGCGACTGCACTGATCAATGGTCTGGGTGGCGAGAAGATACGCTGGACCGAACAAAGCAGCGAGTTCAAGGTGCAACTAGGTCGACTAGTCGGTGACGTTCTACTGGCTACAGGTTTCTTGTCTTACTGTGGACCGTACAATCAGCAGTACAGAGCTAGCTTGGTGTCTTCGTGGATGAACATTCTGGCGACTAAAGACATTCCCTTCACCACGAACCTGAATATCACGATCATGCTCGTGGACAGCGCGACCATGTCCGAGTGGACACTTCAAGGATTGCCAAACGACGAGTTGTCCGTGCAGAATGCGCTGATCGTGACTAAGTCCTCTTCGTATCCTCTGTTGGTGGATCCTCAGAACCAGGGAAAAATGTGGATTAAGAATAAGGAGTGCATGAACGAGTTGCAGATAACCTCTCTGAATCACAAGTACTTCAGGACTCATCTCGAAGACAGTCTTTCCTTAGGCAGACCATTGCTGATCGAGGACATTGCTGAGGAGCTAGATCCAGTTCTCGATAACGTGCTCGAGAAGAATTTCATCAAGTCCGGTTCTATCGAGAAAGTGATCGTTGGCGACAAGGAGTGCGACGTGATGCCTGGCTTCATGTTGTACATCACCACGAAGTTACCAAACCCGGCGTACAGTCCGGAGATCTCGGCTAAGACGTCGATAATCGACTTCACTGTCACCATGCTGGGTTTAGAGGATCAATTACTAGGGAGAGTGATACTCATGGAGAAGGCAGACCTTGAAGCAGAGAGGGTGGCTCTCTTCGAATCCGTCATGACGAATCAAAGATCAATGAAGGAACTCGAGAGCACCCTTCTACATCGACTGACATCCTCCGAGGGTTCTTTGGTAGACGATGAAGCGCTGATTAATGTCCTCAGGGAAACTAAAGTGACGGCGGAGTCGGTCAACGAAAAGCTGAAAGTGTCAGCCCTGACGGAGAAAAAGATCACCTTGGCTCGCGAGGAATTTCGAGCAGTGGCTTCGAGAGGATCTATTCTCTACTTCCTGATCGTAGAAATGAGTAACGTCAACGTGATGTACCAGAACTCGCTCAGACAGTTCTTGACCATATTCGATAACTCCATCACGAAGTCCACGAAAAGTCCCATCACCAACGAACGTATAAACATTATTCTTCGTCATCTGACCTACGAAGTGTGGGCCTTCACTTTGAGGAGTCTGTACGAACGACATAAATCACTGTTCACGTTGATGCTGGCTATGAAGATAGACTGTCACCGAGGCGCGATCTCCCACGCAGAGTTCAATGCCTTCATAAAAGGAGGCGCATCGTTAGATCTGAACGCGGTTGTTCAGAAACCGTTCAAATGGATCCTAGACATAACCTGGTTGAACCTGGTCGAAATCAGCAAATTGGAGACTTTCTCGGATATCTTAATGAAGATCGAGTTTAACGAGAAAGAGTGGCGAGTGTGGTACGAGAAAGAGAAACCCGAAGAAGAGGAGCTACCCTGTAGTTATCAGAAGAAACTGGACGTGTTTAGAAAGCTGCTTCTGATCAGGTCGTGGAGTCCTGACAGAACTTTGTCTCAAGCTAAGAGATACGTGATCGAATCTTTAGGGAAGGAGTATGGAGAAGCCAAGATCTTGGACTTGGAGGCCACTTGGTTAGAATCTGAAGTTAGGACTCCGCTTATATGCATACTGTCCATCGGATCAGATCCCAGTCCTCAGATAACGGCATTGGCAAAGCAGAAGTCTATTCGTAAGCGGATTAAACATCAAGTGGACTAGACAGTTATTTAGAATGCACCATGATTTTTGTTACAGAACTGAGGTCAGTGTCTATGGGCCAGGGTCAAGAATTTCATGCTCGACGACTGATCTCTGATGCTATGAACACCGGCAGCTGGGTATTGCTGCAAAACATTCATCTGTCTCTTCCTTTCTGCACGGAAGTCATGGACGTTCTTGTTGAAACGGAAACTGTACATGAAGCATTCAGACTTTGGATGACCACCGAAGTACATTCTCAGTTCCCCATTGGCCTACTGCAGGTACTTTTCAAGCTCGATCATGACCAATATGTATTACAATTAACTTTTATTGTATGATAATGTATATGTATGGTACGATAATAATTTTCTTCTTTCTTATAACACATAGATGGCCATCAAGTTCACAAACGAACCTCCACAAGGTATCAGAGCAAGTTTAAAAAGAACCTATCAAGGTGTAACGCAAGACACGCTGGATTACAGTACTCAGTCACAATGGCCACCTCTGTTGTACGCCGTTGCGTTTCTACACACAGTTGTTCAAGAACGCCGGAAATTTGGTCCTCTCGGTTGGAACATTCCGTATGAATTTAATCAAGCTGACTTTGCTGCCTCCGTCCAATTTATACAGAACCATTTGGACGATATGGATCCCAAAAGAGGAGTGTCATGGCCGACTGTTTGCTACATGCTTGGAGAGGTCTGCTTACTGTTACGTAGAATAAGAATATATGAGCGTTATTACAAATTAATATATGCATTGTCATAGATTGTTATAAGTATCATAGGTTAATACAGGTAATATTACGATCCCAAACTTAAGAGTTTATTATATTCATTTGCGTCCACAGGTTCAGTATGGCGGCAGAGTAACCGATGACTTCGACAAGCGATTGTTGACTACGTTTACACACGTATGGTTTTGCGACGTACTTTTACGATCTGGATTCGAATTCTACCGTGGATACAAAGTACCCCAAACAAAGAACCTTCAAGGATATTTGAACTACATCGATTCTCTGCCGGCGACGGACACTCCGGAAGTGTTCGGCCTGCACCCGAACGCGGACATCACCTACCAAATAAACACGGCCAAAGGAATACTCGATACTATATTGAGCGTGCAGCCGAAAGAAGGTGGTGCACAAGGCGGTGAAACCAGAGAGAATGTTGTGTACAAACTCGCTAGCGATATGCTTGAAAAATTACCGAAACAGTACAACTCTTTCGAAGTGAAAGAGGCGCTTCAACGAATGGGTGCTCTGCTGCCGATGAACATATTCTTGCGTCAGGAAATCGACAGGTATAGTTTTCCCTGTTTCACATGAACAAATTTGTTTATTAGCGATAGTTCTTCAGGATCACTAGAGTCATCAAAGAGGTGCGCAGCACGTTGGTAGATCTGAAGCTGGCTATCGAAGGTACCATCGTGATGAGTCAAGGCTTGCGTAAATCGTTGGACTCGATGTATGATGCTCGTATACCGGAGAAATGGCTGAAAATATCTTGGGAATCGGCAACACTTGGATTTTGGTACACGGAACTGCTAGAACGGGACCATCAGTTCCGACAATGGTGCGTTCATGGTCGACCTAAAGTCTTCTGGATGACCGGCTTCTTCAATCCTCAAGGATTTTTAACTGCCATGCGACAAGTTAGTGCAATGTTTATAAAGATCAATTTATTAACAGTTTTTTACTTAGAAAAGCCATAATATAAATCTCGTTTTAGTTTCTGTAACCTTTGTAAATTTCGCTTGATCATGAATTATTTCTTTAAACTGACGCTTATATCTTAGTCTAATAATTATCTAATCATATTTTGAAAATAACAAGTTTTAGTGATAAGTTTATCTAACGCTGACTGGTAAGACATTATGCAACAGGAGGTGACTAGAGCGCACAAAGGATGGGCCCTGGACTCCGTCGTGCTGCAAAATTTAATTACAAGATACAATAAGGAGGAGATAAAGAATCAACCTCAGGAAGGAGTTTACGTTCACGGTCTATTCTTAGAAGGTGCATCACTCGATCGCAAAACGAGCAAATTGGTGGAAAGCAAACCAAAGGTTCTATACGAACAGATGCCGGTGATTTACATTTACGCGATAAATACAACTGCAGGCAAGGACCCAAAGCTTTACGAGTGCCCTATATATAGGAAGCCACAAAGAACAGATGCGAAGTACATAGGATCGATCGATTTCGAAACCGATCACAATCCTAGACACTGGACGTTACGAGGTGTAGCTCTTTTGTGTGATATAAAATAAAATGGTATTTCATCGACAAAATTGTTCAATAACCTAATGACATTTAAACACTTAATTACATTGACGAACACACTATGCTTCCTTAGGAAAAATGGCGGTGAAAAAAATTCTATTTGTTTCAACATATAAATACAAACTGCCAAGTTAGCTAGAAGTTACACAGTGGACAACATAGAAAGTAATATACTCAAAACAATTTATGTGTAGATAATAAAACACGTAGTTTTCTTTAAAATAAATTTATGCGTTCATTAAATTAAAAATTTCACTTCTGCGATACATCAAAGTAAAACAAAACTTGTCCTTGCATCTATAATGTACAATTTTGATATCTTAAAAGAAATGAAAATAAAAATATTGTTCCTTACAATGATCAAGAATCAAAATAAAGCTGTACATGAGATCATATTGATTAATAATATGAATAAACAAACTATATAATTATAACAATTATAAATGAATATAAAAAAAATAATTAACAACTTCGAAAAACATCAAAATCATTTTTTTGCACGTGTCCCTTGATTTCGTCCATTGAAATCGTTTAGAATTCTGCAAAAGAAATACGAAAAAAAAATTTCATCACGATCGAAATTTAAAAATAAAAAATTAAATAAATACTTGTTGATATCGTATTATGTCACTACAAAATTAACTTTTAATTACTTATATTTATTATTATCGTTCATAACAGAAATTATATTTAACTTATTATTTGTGATTTTGGTACTTTTACAATATAAACAAATTTGATAACTTTCGTAAGTTGCATTCAACACGTTGAATAACTCTATGATCATTACGATGAAATATTATATAAATCAATCGAGTAAAAATGTCGTATCAGAGTTTATGCACGTTTCTGATGGAAAGTCACCAATGACCCTGTACCAACTTCTTTTTTTATCACCAATAAAAGAATTAAACTAAAAAGTCTAAACAGATTGTACAGATACATTCTGTTCGCGTTTATCAACATTAACAATACAGACAATTTTATAAACATTATCACTAATTTGATTTTACAAAGATCTGTATCGTCGATCAGCAATTAGCCCCTTGACGTTACTGGCAAATCAAATATTAGTTACTAGTGAGCTGCATAGTATTCAACGTGTTAACTGTATAAAAGACACAATTTATAAAATTATTATGACACTATCCTGTTGGTATAAAAACTTACATCTACTTCAACAAAAATAACATGGTATTAATTAGGTTTATTATTGCAAAAAACCTAGCTTGTGTGTCTGTATCTGCACATGAAATTTGGGTAATTTCAGGAAAAGTATTTATTTTCATAAGTACAACGTGATTATCTGCTTTGTTAGACTCTAAAGTCACATTTGAAATATTTAGACCTAAAGTTGATAAGAATTCTGAGAATTCGCTTAATAATGTTTCTACATATTCCTCAGAAACATTACTTTTATCTTTAGGAATAAAGGATTCTAATTTCTCAATTAAGTCAGTATAAATATCACTAGGGAAACTATTTTTTAGTTTGATATGATACTCCGATAACTTAACACCTAAATTTACTTTTTTTGTTGGTAACCTTGATAATAAGGGATAACGAGCTTTTGCAAGTTCATTAGCAATATTTTCCTTCTTAGTAGTATCATCATTTTCTTCAGACAAATTTTCATCTTGATTTGCCACTAAATCACTTATTTTGTCCAACATTTTTTTAGCAGCTTCCTGTTTCGCTTGCTTTTTTGTCTTAGCAACTCCAATTTCTTTAAATGTTGATACTTCACATTGAATAGTAAAAATCTTTGCATGTGGGGGTCCAACATCGCTAATTGGTACATATAAAGGTTCTTGCAAATTATTTTCTGCACACAAATCCTGAAACATATATAAATAAATAATCTTGCTAAACTTGTAAAATAACAAATGAAACTTACTTGTAAAGCACCAATAGCATTAACAAATGGTTCAGTTGGTGGAATTCTTGGTACTTCAGGAACTTGTGGAGGCAAAGGTGTTCTAACAGGTGATTGCGCTGGAGATGCTGGTAACTGTGGATAACCTCTATGTGCTGCAATAGTTTCTAGCATTGCTTTTGCTGCTTCGTGTTTAGCATCTTTTTTAGAACGTCCTGTGCCAGTTGCAGTAAGGCCATCACAAATTACTTTGTACGTAAAAGTATTCATGTGAGTACCTCCACCATCATGTATAAGTTCATAATTAGGTACTGTGTGTTTTTTCACCATCATTTCTTGTAAAATAGACACAGGTGTTTTATTCATATTGGATTGTTATGATCCCTTTGGTTTTATTTTTATGAAATGTACACATATATACACTATTAATTGTAAAATATGTTAACAGTATTTCAAACAGAAAGAATTTCACTTGGATAACTTATAGAAGTAAGCTTACAGTACCTGTTGATAAAAACAGATAAGCCAATTTAAAAAACTGTCTGAAGATGTTCAAACATAAATATGTAAGGACATGTACTATGTAAAAAAAGAAAAACAAATAATCATATACAAACTACAATAACATATAATCACAATTACTAATGAAAATAGTACTGATAAAAAGAAAGATATATCATAAATGTTAGTGTGGTAATTACATTTTATATACTTTTTTCCTGATAAACACAAAAATTAATTTTTTTTAATATTACAGCATACTTTGTATAACTTTGTTTTTAATTATAATGAATAACTGAATATCTTACCTAAATACATATATGCAAATATCTAAATATAATATATTCCTATAACAAGTACATAAACATTTTCAAATTTTTGTTTAAATACATCTGCAATTTGTTAAAATACATCTCAAATTATAAATGTTACACATATCAAATGATTTTTGTAAAGTTGAAATAATAACACTAATACAAACTACAATTCAATGTAATACCTAAATAAACATTTTATGAAATAATTGTTATCAAAAATGAACTCTATAGAATTCGAGAATTCATATTAATAACGTGTATAATGTATCAAAACTATAGCAGACTATAGTTTGGCGGACAACTACTTAAAACGACATCTTTTGGAATAAACTTGTAGCAGGCTATCATACAATGTACACTCAGGTGCAAATCTGACTTCCCTGCAGAAAATGATAGTCAAAAGGAATAGGTTCCTATTATTCACAACAAAACATACATTGACACGTATTATGCTAATTTCGAAATCAGTAAATAATACAATTTTGACTATTTCATACGTTAAAAGCATATAAAACAGTAGTTTATTACAGGGTAATTAATTGAAAAAGTTAAGCTACGTTCTAATGTATTTACTGGGAATCACCTTTTTGTACAGCCTGAATCATATGTTTTCAATTGCAATATATATACATTGTACATACAATATGTAATATAAAATTATTTCATGTAATATCAAGCAAAAACTGATTATTTTAGGAAGATAATTTATCCCAACCAATACATCAATCATAAATTTTGAGTTTGGATGAAAATAAATTCACATTGAATATTCTAACTCAGGGATTCTCAACTTTTGCAAACCAGACTTATTATCGAAAACCATAATTTTTCGTAATCTACTTATTTATAATGTTTATCTGAAAAATATAAAGATCAAAAAGGAAATGTCACTTTCCTATTTAAAATCAGCGACTCAGATTTCAAAATTTGGAAAACCCTGTTTTCACGTCCTAACCTCATTGAATAGTCAGTGGTAACATTGATTTGTTACTGTTTTTGTATAAATACTTGTTTCATCATTGTTTCCATTTAAATATCCCATAAATATACCACTTTTATAAAAGAAGTACAGAAACTTTAATCAAATTTATAATTAATTATGAATTTGCTCAAACCTCAATTTTTTAAACTTACTAACTATTTCATAAAACATGGAAGAAGTTTGTACACTTTACAAAGTTATAGAAGTGTTTTAACATCAGATGAATTAAGAAGCATATTTATTAATTCATGTTATAATAGTTTTAATTTGTCCATAATTCATAAATTTTCTACTACAAATATATTATCAAAACAAAAATCTAAAGTAAAGAGCAGAAATCAGGTGCATGTAGACGTTAATGCGTTAGCTGAAGTTATAAAACTGGAACGCATGATGTCACAGTTTGATGAAACAATTGAAAAGTTTAAAGAAAATTTGATAAATTATGCCAGTACACGTGCAAATATAAGTGCTATAGAAAATTTGCCTATAACATTTGAGGATAATGAATATAAACTTATGGAACTTGTAGAAATCAAGAAAAAACCTAATATGATAGTACTAGATGCATCAGCGTTTCCACAAATTATTCCAGACATCTTAGAACTGCTCACAAAGTCTCATATGAATTTAAACCCACAACAAGAAGGTACAGTCATTTATGTACCAATCCCAAAGTAAGTTCTATGGTAATAAATGTGTACTTGATTTTATGGTATGTATAGCATATTAATTTAATCTTGTGATTCAACAGAGTTACTAAAGAATATAGAGAAAGTCTGGTAAAGAATGCAAAAAAATACTTTGTAACATGTAAAACTGCTATCAGCGATATAAGAAATGAGTATTCTAAGAAATTACAGAGAGCTGACCGTGTTCCTGAAAATTTAAAGCATAATGGCGAGATTTACATAAATACTGTACAGCATGAGTATGTGGATAAAGCAAACCAACTGTTAAAACAAAAGGAAAAAGAACTTCTAGGGGCATCATAATACCAGTCTTATATTTTATAATCTGAAGATGAACTACTTCTAATGTACCTCATCACATGTAAATACATATAAATCTATGTGTAAGTATAATATATATAAATTATCACTCTTTCTGTGTAATTTTTATTCCCTATGGTGTACGGGGTACTGTGTATCTGGGATATTAATATCAGAATAATAAGAAACCATGAAGAACAGCTGTTTTAATTTTTTAGTTCTATACATGTATAAGAATTTGATACATAAGAATACTGTAACTAGAAGTGGCTACAGTGCTGTAGCTAATAGTAAGTACTTTAATTATTGAATTTTAATATTCTGTTTGTTCTGTGTATACTGTAGAAGAGCTTTGCAAAGGGTCTTTGAAGCTTTTTCTAAAACTTCTTTCTTGCAAAAACCTATACTAAGTCGGAGAAAATTGTGACAATTCCCTGTATATGAAAAACGTACACCCGGGATAGCAGATACCTTGTGCTTCTCTTGACACCATATGATAAAATCGTTACCATTTATTTCTGCAAAGAAATTTATTTTTGACATCAGAGGTACCATTATTTACAACATGTAATCTTTTACAGAAGAATAGTTACCTAGAGGTAGATGAATCCATACAAAATAGCCACCCTCTGGCCGCTGATATGAACAATCCTTTGGTAAATCGTGGTCTAATACATCACACAACGCCGATAATCGTTCCTGTACAAAACATGTTTGTCATCCAATAAATTCAAATACATCGAGTCTTATTTTTAAAAATCCTGTATAACGAATTCGAAATTTAGGATTACCCTATAAATCTGAATGAGTTTGTCGAGATGAGCGTCTTGAATTTTTAAATGCAATAAACTTGCAATTACACCGAAAATGTAATTATTAACTCCACCGCCACTGCGCAAAATACCTCTGTAAAGTAGAAATACATATTTTATACGATGGTGGAAATTTTCAAATTTTGTTTAACACGTACTTACGATGATCTAAAGATTTCAGCTACTCTCGGACTACATTCGATCCATCCACAACGAATACCCGGAGATAGAATCTTTGAAAATGATCCATTCGATACAATATTGCCACCCTTGTAGTTAGGATCGCTTGGATCATCGTAGAAGTACAATCGATGTGGTGGAAAACCGTTTCCGTAATTCAATAAATTGTATACATCGTCGCAGGCAATCATTATGGAAGTATTTCGTGCTATTTCAACCAGACGTTTACAATTTTCTGTAAGAAAACGGAAGAGAATGTTTTTGTAAATCAATGAAATATATCATTTGTAACTTACCTTCGGGTAAGGTTGTTCCAGTTGGATTGTGGAACGTGGGAATCGTGTAGAACATAGCCCAAAATAACTTTTCTTCGTTTAGAAGAAAGTTACCCTTTTGCTTCTCTTGCTGAACTATTTTCTCAAACGCGTCTAGGTCGACCACGTCATTTTTCATTGGTACTACATATTAAACATATTTTTGGTTTTAATTAGGTCTTGGTCCTCTAGTCGGAGACAATCGATCGATTTTAAAGTACTATGAAACGTTTCTGCAAGGAAAGATAATAAATGAGAACACTGAATTTTTTTCATTTGGTTTAAAAAATTAAATTTTGTAAATTTAAATAAATGTACAACTAAAATATTAATAATGTCGGTCGATTGACACTGACTAAATATTATAAAGAATGATTTGTATTTTTAGAAAATTTCGTTCGCCACTTTGATAAAAAATATCAAGGCGACGTACCTGTAACTATTTTCATTAATGGAAACTGTTTGAAGGCGTCTAGTGCTATCATGTAAGTGACTTCTTCCACGAAAATAATTCCATTAGGTGACAGAACGGTATTCAATAATAATTGAAGACCATGCGAAGCACCACATGTCAAAATCAAATTTTCCCTCTTCACAGGGTCGCCATAACGCCTGCTCAAAAACATCGCCAATTCTTCTCGACATTCCCATAAACCTGCTGTTATACCGTATTGAAATAAATAATATTTTCCTTCTTTCTTTTCTTTTTCCTGTAACAAAAAAATATTTATAATTACATTTACAGGAAATTTTTGCCTGAGTACTTTGATGTGTAATTTTTTGTTACTATTATTATTTGTCTTGTTTTACAAAAACTGATTTTTTCTGTAATTTCTTTGATGTAATAATATGAAGTTATAGGAATTTAATTAAATACAAGACAATTCGTTACAAGTGGTTATTAAATTTCTGATAAAGTTCTATCTGAACGTCTATTCTGATAAAGTTTTACTGACAATAAATGCCAATCGTAAATAATATATTTCTATTTTTTACCAGTCTATGATCTGTCGCTGTTTTTATCATTTCTACACAATGCTGAAGTAGATCAGGACCGGGTGCACCGACCGATAAGTTCGCAACTTCTTCATTATAAACATTAAACGAATTATTTCCGTCGAAAAGATGTCTCAAATATGGATCATGTAGTGTAGTCTCCATGTTGGAACTGTAATCTCGTGCAATTTAATAAAGCCTTGATTAGTATAAAAATAATGTCAATGATATCGTCTACGCAAAGGTTGCATAAAGCCATTGTAATATTTATCGTATTCACAAGTGTGACGATGTGCATATAAGGAAATTCATGCTTGTGAACATACCTGTAGAATTGAATGTTTATACTATAGAATTGTCACGGTTATAGAATTGTTACAGCTTTGTAATTGTTTGTTTTTTAATAAGTAAACACATTCAGCTATAGAATGCGTGGAAACTATACGTCATGCAAGTTATTCGTAATTAACGATAACAGCTGTGCTGATTGAAGTGGGGAAAGAATGATTGTGTAATTTTTCATTCAGCTTCACGTATCACGAATTATATGATACATGTGTCTGAAAATTTAACTCTTGAATACAAAAATACAGAAACCTCTTTAATCAATACTATCCTTTCTATGTATACTATAAAGTTATCAAAAATACGAATGATTCTTGTATGAATACCTAACACACATAAAAAGAATAAAATTTTCCTAACTCTACGTAATTATATGACCATTTGAGACAATAGCACTCCAAAAGATAAGATAACAAAATAGGATAGAAATGAAAGAATAAAAAAATCACCTCGTAAGAATGATGATGGTTCTTTATTACAATAATTTTTTTACGATATACAATGATATTATAAAGTTTTATAAGTTCTATGTCCACAACCGAATGGCAAATGTAATTCCTCGTAGCTATTTTATCCCGGCGATCGAACGTATTGTACAATTTTCGATTCGTACATCTCTGTTAGATTTACACTTGATTATTAAAAAAAAGAAACGGAAGGGAGATAGGAAAATGGAAAGATTTCTTTTTCGAGATGGACGTAAAACACGTAATTCACGGTACACGATTCTGCAATCCGATCAACGATATATTACAGAAAATAAATCGATCAACGTAATTCATAACGCTTAACGTAATGTACACGATACGTATTGGCTTATCGTCGTAAAACATTAAGACGATGCATTCCGCGTGTGACGAGATCGAATTATGATACAAGTTCATTTTCTTTTCTTTTACATTTGTTCTCGTTCTATCACAGAAGTCCATGCTACATAAAAGTTCCATTTGAAGTCGACAAAATAAAAATTCCCGCCACGAACGAGTTCGTCGATCTCGCACACGCTTCTGCATATCTTTACATTCAATCGAATACAATGCCTGGGAGGATCCATATTTCTTTTCTCGGTGAACACGAACAGGATACGTTCCCGTGCGAAATGTGTTCGTTGTTTCGCGCGTTTCCCTGTACACACAAACATGGCACGTCCTAATCCTATGATTACGCGAGACGCAGCGTAATCGGTATTGTAATTTGTGTACCGCCGCTGCGCCCATTTTGTTCTGTATCCGCCCATATTAGAAGCCGATTTACTTAGTTTATTTTCAAGTACTTTCCGTTCTCTACGTTCGTAGAATGTCTCTTACGCTAACCACTAATCTATGTACAGACGCGTTTCTACATTAAAAAATCGAGATACTTCCGTGCGCTTCGGCCGAGGCCAATTTCATTGGTCCCATGTAACGAAATGCGATGGCATATCAAGTAAAAGAAAGAAGAAAACGTATATATTAAGGACAGCGTAACGTTTAAGTAGAATTGCGAGACGAGTCCTGGGAAAGCATTCGTGCACATTTTGTTCTGCTGCTTTGTCCCATGGACCATGGTTGTTTCTACTGTTTCCACTCGGAAAATTTCAACAGTAAATTAGGACCTTTCGTTTCTCTGTACACATGGGTGCAATGTAAGCTTCTTTTGGGTGAACACAAGTTAGGGGGAAAGCATTACACCAGTTTGATTCAATTTTGAATCAAATTTATAAATCTGGAAATTTTTTAGTTTTTCTGGATTCCCAAATTTCCACATTTTTACATTTATGTAAGTTTCTGGGTTTCTATGTTTCTTAACCTTTATTTTTCTAAAGTGAACTTTCAAATTCTTTTGAGAATTTCCAAATTTCTAGACTTCTGGATTTCCAAATTTAAAAATCTATAATTTGAGTGATTTCCAAATTTGAGCATTTGAAAATTTAATTTTTGACGGAGTTTCAGCTGCAGTAAACGTGTAGAAGCGAATCATTTTCCCTAGGGAAGCCCAGCTCACCAGTGTACTGTCGTAGCTTACTGCGGTACAAGAAGAAATCTGAAAAAGGATCGATACACGATTGAGATGTTCAAGTGTTCTCGAGAAGTAGTAGAACGTTTTTTTTATCACAGTCAAGGGCGAACCGCACAAATGTTCGCACCCGGGGCATCTAAAATTTCAATCAGATCTTTCATCTTTTTCGAAAAGCCCCGTGTACAGATTGTTCACATCTCGTGATTCGTAAAACAGGAATCTCAATCCGAGCGAAGTAACGTTACAAAAACGATTTTAGAAGACAAAGAAAGTTGCAATTAGTGTTTTTAATTTTGTCCTTTGGAAGGACAAGATTGGTCCACATTTTGGAATGATTTTAAGAGGAATTAAAATATTAGAGAAACACGATGGACCAAGATAGTCTGTGTGAGTCGAAGATTAAAGATGTGAGTAAAAGAGAAAACAATTGTCTATGCCATTTACTGCACGTCGTTCCTTAAACTTTGTTTAGTAGACCTAACGGAGTGGTAGGTAATACCTTTTATTTACAAGCCACGGTAAATGGCACATTAAGATTATTTTTGCACTACTTGTTCATTGTACGCACGCGCATCGACAATTTATGTTTGTGTGATACACACTTTTCCGTTGCGACAGTCAAACTCGCTAAGGAATTAGCACAGTTCACGCGTCTTACGTCTAATCACAATCAAACGCGGCACTTGTCACCGAAGTGTCCTTTCTAAGTACACTGAAGGATAATTTCCTCGGAATGAGAAGCTGAATTCGTCCGTGTTCACATCGATTTTTACACGCGTTCGAGATCGACTCTCGATTACACTCAGATATCGGCTACTCTGATTCTAACACGGAACAAAGAACTGTCCTTATTTATCAGGAATCTCGAAATCAAACGGTCGTTTCATTCTTCCTAAGTGGTTTCAGCGGCTGCAGCTCCCGTTCCAGGCGATCGAAGTCGTTGTAGTATTCGTGGTCAGATTCTTCCTCGGAACTCCTTTGTCTCACCTGGGATCCGAATGTTCCGTTCGTTAAAACTTTCTCCAGATCTGGCGTTGGAATCCCTATGGTCTGCGGGGTTAATGGTCCTTCGTCCTGCGACATTATGTACTCGGGATTATCCAGCGACGTTTTACCTTGGATGGTCAGAAACTCGGGATACTTCCGGTAACCGTTGTTGACTCGCTTTGGTTCCATTTCTGTAATTAATGTCTCATGTTTAACACTTAACTTGCAATTTGTACTACATTATATCTTAGGCAATCACATAACACAACTATGTGCATAACTATTCCATGTCATTGGTAGACCGTAAAATGTTAATGACACATACCCGTAGGTTTCGAGTCTCCTATGAGATCCATGTACTGCGTGGTGTTCGTTGGCAATTGCGGTGATGGCATCAGATAATCGTCTTCGTCTAATGGCAAGTCTAGCTTCAGGTTACCTACTTGAGCTTGCTGATGCGCGGAGTTCACTTCGCCATCAAAGCAGTCATCCGTCACATCGCAATCTGCACGAACAGCAACGTATTTCAACGGTATTACTACTTCAACGTAGTTGATTATTAATAATAGCAAAGTATTTCGTATCTTATTACTATCAATGTTACTGAAAGAGCCATTATTATAAAACTCACCTCTGACACCGATCATCTTCAAAGGATCCGAACAGTATCTCGAACTTGAAGTGTCCGAGCCCACGACGTGTCCACAGTGACCATTCGGAGGCGCGTAATGAGGATGTTGTCCAGAATTTCCTGGCTCGTGTGATGTGTTCCCGTTCCTGTGGTTGGTGCCGTACCTCAACAGCTCCCTGTCCCAGTTTTGTTGGTTCTGAGGCGTCGGGGAATCGGCGGCCAATGGTTTCCCGTTTGGCCAACAAGTCTTCACGGGGGTGTTCGGCGGAGAGCCGGAAGTACTGGATGCTGAAAGTCCCGGGGGAATAGGTGCTCTAGATTTCGGTTGGAGATACTCGTCCGCGTCTACTAGAGCTTCCGGTCCGTCCATAGCCGAAGCCAGATTTCGAATCATCTCTTTTTCGTCCTGTAAAAGAGATCAATCAATCCATTACTGATACTCGTTATTGCTAGAATAATACTCATTTAGTAGTTCACCTATTTTTATAAAAATAAGAATGAAAGTATAACGTATGATTTGACATACCTGCAGTGTATACGAAGGTAGTCTCATGTACTTGTCACCCTTGATAGCGAGGTACCGGCCAGGGTCTCTGGACATCTTCGCGAAATCCTCCGCTAGCTCCTTGAAGCTGGGCCTGGACTCAGCGTCCAACATCCAACACTTGATCATGATCATGTAGACATCGATCGTGCAGATGGGGGGTTGAGGTAACCTTTCGCCCTTCTCCAACAATTCCGGCACGTTTCGGGCAGGCACATTCTCGTACGGCCTACCGCCGTACGTGAGAACTTCCCAAATAGTGACCCCGAATGCCCAAACGTCCGACTTGTGAGTGAACACCCGATGCTGGATGCACTCCAGAGCAAGCCATTTGATCGGCATTTTGCCACCGGCAGCCTTGTACTGTTCCTCGTTGATGTCCAGAAGCTTAGCCAAACCGAAGTCCGTAATCTTGACGCAGTTAGGCGTCTGCACGAGAACGTTTCGAGCAGCGAGATCGCGATGGACCAGCCTCCTCTCCTCCAAGTAGGCCATTCCTTTGGCGATCTGGGTACACCAATTCAACAACGCCTTCGATCCGATTTTGTCCTTGTACCTGCGCACGAAGTCGAGCAGACAACCCAGAGGCATCAGCTGAGTGACGAGCATCATCTGCGACGTCATGCAAACAGCCAACAACTGAAGCAAGTTAGGATGTTCCACACTGGCCATGATGTACGCTTCGTCCAGAAACTCCTTCGAGGTGTTCGCTCCTGTACCATCGTGCAGGACCTTTATAGCTACTGGTATCTTCACATTCTCGCCTTCCGGTACCCAGACACCTTTATACACGTTTCCAAAAGCACCGTAACCAAGGATTCCACCTTTCCTCATCTCTTCCTCCTTGATGATACGCAATTTAGCTAGATTCGGCTTCACACCCGTTGGTCGAAGAGGCTCGTTGTCATCCAAACCAGTCAGTGCCATTGTCATCTTCACCGTGTTCTCCTTTGCCTTCGCTCGTACTCGCCAGAAGTACATGATGACGGCTGCCACAACGAGGAACACCAACGCGAACACCGCCACACCTGCTAATATCGCTGGCTGAAGTTCGTTCTCCATCGCGAAACCGAGACCGGCGGTTTCTAAGGAACAGTATGGCTCGCTGTCCGGTGGGAAGATCTTGTGAGGATATTCTGGAGGGCATGTTTCCGTACAGTTGAAGGTCGTCGTGTTTCCGTCGATGTCTTCATCCTGAAATGTGAGAGTTAGATGTATAGAGGCTACTTTAACGTAAGTATCTATAAGAACAAAGTCAACAATTTGGATTTTGATTTTCTGCAATATTAATAGACTCAGAACTGAAGTTGGGTTTGGACCTTGAAGTGTTCAAGTTTGAAGCGTTTAAGTTTGAAGTGTTCAAGTTTGAAGCGTTTAAGTTTGAAGTGTTTGAAGTTTTAAGTATTCCTGGTTTAAGTGGGTTTCAAAGTAGGCTATTCTGAAGTAACCTAGTTTGAAGTTTCTTCAGGGTCCACAAGTACTTTGGCTCTGAAGAGGTTGCTACTTTTCTTCAATTTGATAGTCTATTGGAACCGCTATTATTAGGCTATTTTTGTACCAAATCAATAAAGGTGATATGAGTTGTACAGAAATAGGACTATGGCTATCTGAATCGTGGATGGAAAATGCATAATATTTTTATCTATAAGTGGATGGACTACGTACAATATAGATCTTGTAGTTTCGACATTTGTAGCACTGATTGGGTCCGGGTCCAAAGCACCCTCGACATTCGCTGAAACACGGTATGCAACGTTGCGTATCAGCGTCCGCGAAATGATCCGCAGGACACTCGTCCTCGCACTGTTCGCCCTTCTTATATTTTGTGCATTCCTGACACACATGCTCGTGGAAACCGTATCCGGTGCATTTCTTGCAACGCGGGTGGCACTCTCGGCAAACGGCCTTTCCCGCCAGAGGTTTCAGGGCTCCTTGTTCTTGAGGACTCACCCATTCGTAGTAATGTCCTGTAACATAAAATTAAAATAAAACCATCGGATTATTCGCCCAATGCTGAACCGAATATTATGATAAAGATGGACCGATAAAGATGCATTTTTATAGAATCAAACAGATATCGAGTCACCTACCGTCAGGACAGGGTTCCCTTTTTTGCAGACATCCTTCAGGTACATGGCCGTTCATGATCGCCTTATCGCAGCTGTGGCATCCATTAGGGCCAATGTTGTTTTCAGGTCCCTCGCAGCCACCCACGCAGTTCTCGTGACAATCTTTGCACTGGCCATTGTCGTTATACTTCGAGGACGGACATTCTGGCACGCAGAACGGACCGTCTCGCGCGTGTTTGCATTTCGTGCAATGTTCCGCGTTTGGCCCGGTGCAAGAACCGTCGCACTCTTCGTGGCACAGCTTGCAGGTCTTCTCGTCCGCCTGGTAGATTCTAGAACGATACAAAGAATTCTCGTGAACGCGTTTTCTGCGACTGAAACGAGGTCGAGAGTAAAGCGTGCGCGAAACAAACGTCTCCTCAGGTATTTGTGCAGTTTACCTTCGATCCACAATCTGAGGCAGGCGAATTTAACATAACAAAAGTAAGTCGTGTTATTTACGTTATTACAGAGATTGTCGAGGTTTATCGTAGTGTTTCGGATATGTAAGTTGTCCTTACCCTGGCGCCGTGCAATCTTGAAGACAATCGTTCCCCAGAATGAAGTTCTTGCAGGATAGACACTGAGCGGGTCCGGGACCCCAGCAACCCTCCTCGGAACATTGCTCGTCGCATACCAAACCATCTTTGACTGAAATTATAAAATTCTTGTTGACGGACAAAGTCTTGCACTTTTAGTTCTAAGCTTACAAATCACACTACTCAAAATATCCAGTATACTAAAGTACCAATTGTGCTCATTTGACAGATACTTACTGCATTCGCTTTCATTCCGATTATTCGACAGCAGACTCTCATGTTCCGACGATTTTTTGATTCTAGTCCAATTGATGCTCTGAGCGTAACACAAATTCTTGTTCTCCAAAATGGCTATCGATCCAGAATAGATTTTCTTCAGAGAGCTCAGTCCGAACGAGACCAACGACGTTTTCACGATATACAACGATGCAAAATACTCGGTCAGTGTTCTTCCGCCTATCACTTCCAAGTTCCTAAAGTACGACAAGTTCTTGAAGTCCTTGTGGTCCCCTTGGATGTTCAGGAACCCGGTGATCTCCTTCAACGTGCTGAACACCTCCAACTTATCGGGATGCATTTTCTCGTACCGTTTACCGAAACTAAAGTTCGGATAGACGTGCTGGAAACCTTGAAAGCTTTGATCCAAGATGGTGATCGAACCCTCGATGATAGTGCAATCCTTGAAGCTGTCGATGTTGCCCGAATGAACCTTCTCGACGCCCTTGCAAGTTTTCGGGCAAGGACCGTCGCAAGGTACGCATTCCCCGTTCAAAGCTTTCTTCTTCGGCGGACAGGATCTTACGCAAGCACCGTTGTCTTTCAGAAGGTGTTCGGGACACCTTCTCACGCAGGTTGCACCATACGCATACTTCCCGTCGGGATTAGCCTCCCACGAGTACGTCGTTGGATTGTACCTGAAACGTACGTCGTCCTCTTTTAATGCCGGCTCGTAAACTTTGAGCGGGATCCGAACTTACAACCGGAAAATCGGCGCTAGTGAAGTAGGGAAGATTTATGGACAATAAGGTTACCGGTGTAAAACGGTCTTACGCTTTTTTGGAGACTTGATGGGGCAGTTTATAGGGCAAAGTATTCAGTTTATGATCAGATTATTGTGATAATAATTTACATTCTTGTTTTTTTGATCGAGATAAATCTGAAGCTACTAGGCTGCACTTCTGACAGACTTTTAAAAATCAGTAATTTATATAACAGTCTGTTAGAAATTTTAGATGTTAGGTTAATATTAAATATTCAACTGGATTAAAAATTTTGAAGACAAGACAAAAATAATTTTCATAATTCAATAACAATTTAAAGTACCAAAAACTTTGGTTACTTTGGTCTCTGTTAATACTGACTTGTGACTAAAATTTTTGATATAGAAATTAATTTAAAAATGTGAGGAAATTTCATTGTACACATTAAGGTTGACAATATTGATTTTACAAAATCGTTACAAGGTATCGAAGTTGGAGGTTATGAATAATTAAAGTTAATTACGCGTTGATCGGTCGTTAATTAAGGAGCAAATGCGAATCGGCATTTGCTTTATCCCGGAGAAGAAGATGCGAGTCGTTAATGATGCGGCTGATCTACTTACTTTTGCATGGGCGGGCATTCCTGCGTGCACACACCGTCGTCGAAGAAGTTTTTACATGCGATACAGTCGCTCTGTTTCGGCCCCGTACAGCCGCCGGCGCAAAAAAGATGGCAACACTCCCGTGGATTGGGTCCGAAGCACCTGCCCTGCCAACATTGCGGTGAACAGTTCGTCTTGGAATATTTCTGACAATTCTCGGGCCCCTCGCCCCAGCAGCCTTGCTCGCAGCTCTTATCGCAGGGCGGGCAAACGCGTTCCGGCGATGTGAAATTGTACACGTAAATGTACGTGGCTGTTTGGCTGGTGATTATTTCGTCCCAGTTGATCGTGCGGATGTGGCACAGGTTGTAGTTGTTGTACATGCCCACGCTGCCGTTGAGGATATCTGCAAACGACGTGCAACAGTCGGTTAAACCGAGGTGAACTCCTTGAGTATCGTTTTACATTGTTGCGCTGAAAGACTCGTACATTGGCAGAACAATGCCTGGAGATATAGTGCAACATTCAATGAGATAGGAATTAAATTTAAACTGTAGAATACGTTTAGTTGATAATGATGATTTTATCTACAAATATCGAAGCTATCTGTTTCTCCCGTTGTCATGAAATATATATCAAAATCTTCCTCAACTATATTTTGACTAAATTTTATGAAACAATATGAAGTTAAAGTTAAACACCTTTCTTCTGTGCAACATTGATGCTCGATACCTCAGAACTTGTATATTATAATATGCAAACTTTGGAGCTTCGTCTCTAAGCCCCGAAAGCGCGAAATTATCAAGCAGCTATTTCAACAAAATTTTGAATCTAACCGAGAATGTACACAAAAGTTTAATAAAGGAGATTGTAATACTTACCCCTGAGGGCCGGCATCTCCAGGTTCTGCATCTGACACATCGTAACGAACAAAGCGAACTCATCGTCGTGGATGTTGAGCTTGAAAAGCGTTCTGCCGCGTATGATCTGCAATCGCGGCAGAACGATCTTTTTGACGTCCACGTGGCTGATGAGCACGTAGCCGGTGACTTCGCGAATGTACTGGAGGAAACTGAGGTCGAATGTCTCGTTCTGGAGCCATGTGATCTCCAGGTTGCCGTCGACATAAGTACAGTTGGTGTACCGGTCTCGAAGATTCCGGTAGTGATGTTGCTTGTTGGACGGAACGGAGAGGCGGCCATTGGTTCCGATACAAACTGCGAATAAAAAAAACAAGCACTTAGCACAAAATTTAAAAGGGAATAAATTACTACGTAAAATTATTTCAAATCTTTAGTTAGAGTTGTCACAATATACTCTTATGCACCTTTGTATGAAGTTAAAGGGTTCCGCTCTTTACATTCGTAATTTATGAAAATTGTTGCAATGTTAAGGAAGAAACCTTCTTCGTCAATTCAGTCTACTTCATTATATGAAGTAGAAATAACCTAACTATATAATTGATTAGGGTTTAACCGAGGTTTGGGCTTGGCCTATGACTAAATGTACCTCTCAAAAAATCAGTAGTTCATAAAAATTTTAAATCAAAAACCGAAATATCATACGAAGTTATTTAGATGTTTACTAAAAACGTTCCATGCTAAAGTTGCAAGTGGTTGAACGATAAATGCACGTTTGCGAAATACAGGTCTAAGGGTGATTAAACGTGATTGTCCGGATGCGACATAAACGCAAAGCGTAATAAAGTTTACATGTTTTCAGCGTGACAGGACTGTTGATCCCGTTTCAGTGACGTTTTGTAACAGACTGAGATACAGAGACCGGTCGCGCGACTTCCGTGCGTCGACGACCCTCTCTGCTCATAGAATCACCAAGTGGAACGGGCTGAGGTCGCCACCCACATCGTCGAAAGCGCTTCTCTGATCTATAGATAGCTTTCTAAGCTTTGAAAGCGTGCCGTGCCGGTGGGCGAACCACTTCCATAACACGAGAACGCACGCGCCCAACTTTGTTGTGTAACCACGTTTCATGGACCTCGTACATCGAAATACCTGCTGGTAAATCTTTACAAATCCACGATACACCTACCCCGTTCGCAATATCAATGTTCTAGATCATTCAGGGCCATACGAGACTCCGCATTATTAATAATATTAATATTTTTAATGAGTGTGACACAGTTTGTTACTGGCTGAAGCTGTTCTGGGTCACAGCTGACGTCGATAGGGAAGATTAAATATGGATCTTCGAATACTGACTAAATATTTGACGTGTGTAATTTAATCCAAAGCTAGAGTGTAATGAGTGGGTAAGAATATTTGGACACTGGAGGAGTTGCTGAACGATGACCTTTCTTCCTAGAGAAGACTAGTGTGCTTGATACTTGAGACTCTGCGCAGCATACCAAGTGCAGTGATCTCTAATGAAGATGATATACAAAAATCCTCGAATGCCTCAAAGTCTAGCCATAAATTCCATGACCTCCAGCATCTCATACTTAATAAGTTAATAAAGGAGAAATGAAATATTTCGCTGGTTTCCAAAAAAACTTGAACAGCCTCAATAATCATTCGCACCATCAGGTAGCCAATATCCCAGCAATATCATTCATAAGTCCGTTAATAACCGGAACATCGATCGACAGCCGTTCAAGGCGAGTCACGCCCCGGGCAAAAAGCATAGTCGATGATCGACAGACGTCCGCGATCGGCCCGTCCTCTCTTCTGGACTTCTTCATCTGTTTACATCTTCGTTCCAGCAGGACGCTGCGTCCCTAACTGCGTCGTCGCCCGCGTCGCGGCGCATAGTCGCACGTACCGACCCCGTCTTTCGGAATTTGGTTTTGCTGCGTAACGCGGATCGCAAACGAACGCGGGGATGCGTTCCGATCTGCCGTTCGTTCGGCCGCCGAAAGGGCGGTCTTAATCTGACCCTGCGATCGGAATCATGCGAAAATAATTGCGCAACAACCTTCTTGCGGGAGAAGGACGCAGAAGAAGTACGGGTGCGTCATCGGGTAGGGAGAAGGGAGACCCCGGGAAGAAGTGTTCGAACGGAGAAACCGGGCCCTGGTATTTTGTAGCAAGCAGATGCTGCGACCCTTCGAAGACGAATGCAGAACGTGGACCACGGCGCCACGAACTTCGGGAATGCGGATCGACCGTGGATCTGCATCGCTCCGGGATTCTCGTCGACCGATGTAACCTACACGATCCCTCCGCTGCGTTTCCTACGGGTCCTCCTCGGAAGATTAATGTCCTAATCGTTGTCGAAGATAAGAAACTGCCGCGGTTTTTGCGCGGGAAACGCGGGACCTGACTTTCGACGGCGATGTCGGCAGCCACGTTTTAGCCCCATCGCAAAAAGGTTATTAAGGTTATTAAATTATTGCTGGCATTCGGCATACTCGGGGATGCATGTGTCTATACATGATGGATGAAATATACACGCTGTACTGTATGTTGTGTATGCAAGGGAGAGGAGCTGTATTTTGGGAATGGGTGAGAGAGTGACATCTTTAGGGAGAGTTAAGTTGCAATAACTCCTAATGGATACTCTTTAATCTTATTTGCTTATTAGGTAATATTATCAGGTGTTGGTCAACGTAAATTATTAAATGATTTCAGTAGTTTCTAAATTCTACTATGGCGCCCCAGGGAGAGGTACCTCAGTGACTTTCAAGGAAGTGGAAAGAAAACCGCCATGTTGATCTAAACTAGATGTGAGCTCATATGGCGGTAAGACTCAAATTCGTTTAACCAAAGTCGAATTTTTATAATTAAATACTAAAAGAAATATTCTCATCGTACTATAAAATACCAGAATATAATTTGTTACAGAATTCTGATCATAAACTGAAAAGTGACAGATCCAATAATAAAGCAGCGAAATAACCGGTATGAATACCTCACAGTGAACCACTGCAATATCGCAGTTATAAAATATAAACGAAACGTTAATAATAAGTGTTTGAAAGGTACATGACGTTAGGGTTAATGAAACGAGCCATTTTCCTTGCGAGCACGCGTGGAATTTCGTTCGAAACAATTTACAAACGTAACGAGCTCGTGTCGTACAGCGAATAAATTCACGTATGTCGATGGGTCGTCGTTTTCCTCGAAAATCTCTCGGTATTCGCATGCCAGCGCGCTAATTAGCAACGTTCGCGCGTATACTGTTAACGTTATTGCCGGTCTCGATGCCGGTCGTACGAGATGCGGCCGCGTGTAAAACTAGTCGAAGGGCGACTTCCGCTAACTGGAGGCGCCGTCAGTTTCCTTTTCAGGCAACGCCACCGTTCTGAACTCTCGTACATCTCTCGACATCTCGTCCGTCCGTCTGTTCGTTTGCTATTTTACAAGAGAATCGTTCCTCTCTCCGTTTGTTTCCCTTTTATATTCAGCTCGACGCGCGCACGTCTTCGTTCCACTTTGCTCCGTGACGAGCAAAACGGCCATACGATGGAAATTCTACCGGCAGCAGGAATATAAGGAGCACTCGTTTCGAACCCTCTGGGGACGCGTCGATCCCGTTCTCCTCTTCTTCTCCCTTGTTTCTTCCACAAATTTTTCAGCGACTCTGAACGCCTGCACTTCGCGCTCCGAGCTCTGGCTGCTCGATTTCCGCGAACGATATGAATTCTCTGCGTTAAGTATAATTTAAAGACAATTTATCAGCACATACTTTATTCTTAATACACAAATACCAATTAATTCTATAATCTTTCAATATTAATTTCGTTAAAAATTTAACTCTTGTATCTCCAAACGAATGACATGAAATTGAATGAAGCACAAAAATCGATACCGTTTGAGAACTTCTGACTGTATTTCATGATGTATAGACTGATCTAAAGTAACTTCGAAAGCCCACGAAAGTTCGTAAAAGTCTGCTACAGCAAACGTGTCAAAGGACCCGGCGAGACACGACGAAAACGAGCTTTCAGGACGTAAATGCAGGTAACTGAATTACGAGACAGACGATGCAACCGCCATCATCCGGTACGCGGTCCATCAAACGGAAAGTTACGGGCAGGGTAAAAAGAAAGAAGAACGCGTGATAACCGAACGGGCCATTTAGACAAGGGAGAAAAGTGGTAGTTGTAGCAGAAGTGTCGGTTAGGGCAACACGTTCTACCTTCGAAGCCTGCTACAAAATTCATTGGCGAATTTCGGGACCTTGGGGTATGCGAAGGCTGCAGAAACATGGCAATTATCCTTGACAACGGGGTTACGAAAATTATCCCCCTTGCTCGGGATTAAAATTCTCCCAAATTTACGACGCCTGCACGCTTCCGAAAGACAATGGCGATATATCGATTACGGGGTCGGGTGCGAATTCGCCCGTTCCCTAATCATTCACAGGATTCTAGGAACGTTTGCTAGGTTTAGGTGCTAGATCGCCTAGTGTGGGCCTTTAACTTCAGGCTTATTTAGAATTTGATATTTAACATATTTAAAGTTAGTATTTTAATCTTCTGATTATAGGTAACGCCACATATGAAAGTTTGGGCTGATACGCTTTGTGGAATCAAATTATTGATCGCAATTTATTAAGACGATCACAACTTTATGCTGTTTGATAAAGTGTCTGAGCGTGTATTTATAATTAGTGACTAGTGTAAATAATTCTGCTAATTCATCTACCTTACAAGATGCGATCTTATCAGTTAAGATATATCCAAATAGACACATCTAAGTAGATACACCTAACTACGTGTATTTAACTGAATACGTCTAACGAGGTACATCTAACTGGGTACATTTGACTACATACATCTAGATTCATTTAATTAGATACATCCAACTTGGTACATCCAACTAAATACATCTGACTAGGTACATCCAACTAGGTATATCTAACTAAACATATCTGACTAGATGCGTCTAACTAGATGCATCTAACTTAACATATCTGACTAGATACATCTAACTATGCACATCTAGCTAAGTACATGTAACTAGTTACGACTAACCAGATACATTCAACCAGATACATGTAGCCACATACATCTAACTAGATACATGTAACCAGATATATCTAACCAGATACATCTAACCAGATGCATTTAACCAGATACATGTAACGACATATGTTTGACCAGATACATATAACTGCATACATCTAACCAGATACATTTAACCAGATACATTTAACCAGATACATTTAATCAGATACATTTAACCAGATACATCTGATTAGATACAGTTAAGTACATCTACCAATATCCACCTAATCTAAAGTATCTGAAAAATCG